TTTTCCTCGATATTTTGTATTAATGATTTGATGCGAATAAGATTGGATAGAAGATCTAAAGTGTTGAAGGGGTTCTTGTTCATCGAGACATGCAGTTCTCGAGAATTCATTTATTTGCGGTGAACGGACTTTTCACCGTGTTTCCGGAGGCATGCTGGAATTACAGATTATCTTCGCGTCTTCTTCACCGAGAGTCAACCTTTTTTCTTTCTTCCCTTCAATTTATTCTATCACCGCGATTTGACGAATTGCACTCGCGAGGAATTCTAATTCTCCAACAGAGTTCTTCCTCTTTTTCTCCTTCAACCGTTCAGTTTTCAAGTATTCCCGAGACGTGTTGGAATTTTAGATCTACCCTTTCTTTTCCCTACCTTGATGTATCTACTATCAAATGATTCCTTCGACATTTTTCCTTTTTTATTCTATATTTATGTAACTCATAAGGGTGTATCTTCTCAGGAGGGCCAAAAAGAAGTGCATATTTGGACATTTTTTGTCTTTTTTAAGAAAAACTTATTAATCTTTTTTCATATATGTTTTTCCATTTTAACAAGTATATCTTTTAACAATTTTTGTATGCAAAAATTCAGAAAATTTTTATTTTCAACAATCCGCCCCAAAGTGGCTCCCAAAAAACAGTTTGCCAAACATCAACTAATATCTTCCACACTTTTCATTATTTTTGCATTAAAAAAATTTCTAAAAGTTTCTGCAGATGTACTTTTTAAAATATAAAACCATTTATTAAAAATGTTCATAAGTTTTTTTTTAATAAATTCACAAATATTCACGTTCTGTTGGTCTTCCTAAGCAGATGTACCTCTTGAAGAAATTTTTCTGGAAAATTTTCACTTCTGATCATCAAATAATTATCAAAGAATTTTTGTCTGAATATGACAAAACCATGGTTTTTCTAGCCTTCCGCGTTTTTCCTGGTCGCTTTATTCATACGGCCTCGAACTCGAACGAACGCTCGCATGTAAACTCGTTCTAATTTGCATGTTGATGTGCATCGAGTACAGGGGGAAGGTCGTCCATCGAGGATCCACTGCTTCGATCATCAATTCCGCATGTTCGTTCCTCGTAATTTCGTCACTTTCGCGATTTAACCGTCTATTCTTTGAACCATGTTTATTTCGAAAGCGTTCCTCGAACGCGGCCTCTCAGAACTGGCTGCATAAATTTCCAACATCCAGGGAAACCTTTGAAACAAAGTTTCCTCACACAAACGTTTCAGTTTACCCGTGTGAATCGATACGATTGATGAATAGCAGAATATGCAAAGCGTTCGTCTTCATCAGTTCAACACTTTTCTGATTATTTTCGTTCGTAAAAGTAAACATACTTGAATATTTAAATGAGAAACCACGCTCTGTTTCGTTAATTCTTTCTTAGCTAACCAAACTTGAAAAATTTGTAAGACGGTCAAAAGTTCAGTATAGTGTCAATAAACATAAGAATACTTTCTTTTTATTTTCTTTTCCTTTTTCTTAGCCAAGAATAAAACCCAAATTTCGAACTCTTGAACCTCCATATTAATTAAAATGAATGAATTAATTATCGTTTTCTATGAAATAAATATTCACAATTTTTATTAACGATTTCTTAATGATTAATCAATTATTATGTATTCCTAAAGTGATTATCATTTCAAATTTTAATTCATTGATTTCTCTGATTGGAAACTTTGAAACATTTCCGATGATTGATCATTGATAAAACCTCAGATCATGTGAATCCCTGAGGTACATAAATTCAATTACGAAGCCGAATAAATAACGAAACTAATTGCGATAGCTAACGCGATAATCTCCATATTTCTTTCTTATTACGAATAGCGGCATCTCCTATTGATGTTTCAGTTACGAATGCGGTTAACAGTTTCGGTAGATTATACGCCAGGTAAAAATTTTATCTTCCTCGAGGATCTAAGCGACAGGCGATGAAACATCGCCTTTTCTAAAACGTATATTTTCGATGCTTCTACTCGGGTAGAGAAAAGCAACTTTTGCCTTTAGGAAGGTCGATAAATAAGAATCGAAACGAGCCTTCGATCGTCGATATTCTTAATTGTAAACCGTAAATTGTTAGTTTCACACGGCATATCGAACGTGTGAAAAAACGTATTCGTGCTCGGTGGATGGTGCACCGAAATTTCACGGGAAAGAGGACAGAATCGCGAGGAAGAAAGGCCGAATTCCAAGAAATACCTGTCCTTCGTTCATTCACTCGTCACAAATTACCATTCTCCGTGTTCCAGTCGCGTCAGCACGATCGAACGCGGAACAATTTACGATACCACTGGACAGACTTTTGAGAAAGGAACTGTCCACCTAGGGAATCCCCTTTGCACGGTTCATTGAACTATAATTAGGAATATTTTTTGAATGAAATTCTACTTGGGAAAATTTGCAATAACCACAGTAAGTTGGACCGCAAAGAATTTAATTCTATAAAAGTAAAGCTTTTCTTTTAAATATTATTTTTACCAAACCAAGATTATTTCTTCAGCAATAATTTTTTACTCTTAACGGAAAGTAAATAATTTTTTTTTTAATTTTCTAGATGAAAGAAACAACATTTTTAATATTTTCTAACTGGTGAGTTCAATGAGCCCTCTTCCCTAGATCCTCCTACGATTTAATTCATTAAACTAATTAAAGTAAATTCATTAACTGTTCTTTGTCTAAATATTTTACTAAATTAGAAGTAGCTCTCCTTATGAAAATCCATGAAGAAAACACAAATTACAACTGACTACCAGTCATTTTGTATTAAGAACATTCAAGAAACGTTTATGTAGTAATTTTCTTCAGACTTTAACCTGTAAGTTGATGCTGCATAAGTGCTACTTTGCACTACTTTTCTGTCATGAAATCTAACATACAGCAACTTAATTTTCGATAGAAAACAAATTTTTGTTGAATGAAATATTATTCGATCAATCGATCGAAGCTCGGTCTTTCAATCTTTCCGAGGAATGTGACGTTTGAACGGTGGTGAAGGATCGTTTGGCCTCCTAATATAAAAGCGGACCAGAAACGTGGCAATTTCACGCGTTAGCCTCGATTGACTCGGATCGTTTTCGTGATCACGAATCCGCTATAACCGGCCCGACGTCTCCTCGTGATTTCACACGTCGGGAACGTGTTCATCGGTGTCCTTGTAATTTATCTTCCTCGAACTTTCTAGAAGAATTCACGATACCTCGAGCAAACGCAGGACGGCCAATGAAAATGTTGATCGACGAAAAGAAGGATTCCGGGCAAGTAGAAAGTTCTATGATGAGGTTGATTTGCATAAGACGACGGCAACGAAAGTGGAAACTGCCTCTGCTCCCTTCCTACTTCTCGATTTTCAACAACACATCCGCACCGATTTCGATCACCTGAACACGCGTGACATAACCGGAGAATTATGTTCGAGGCTCGGCTAGAAGAATTCACGATGGGCGGTCTGCATGAACGGTTGCTAGAAAACCCTTACGGGACATTTCTTCTCTAATAGAAAGTTCTTCTAATCCTTTGGATTTTTTTTTTTTTTTCATTCGTCCAATGAAACCCTTGATTATCTTTGAAACCGAATTTGTTTTCACAGCATCGATACTCGAAAAACTGTACGGTTTTTTGCGTGACGTCAGAATTTCGTAGAAATCGACTCGTCTTGAAATTTTATTATGCTCGAATCGCGATGAATATGCATGCGGAAGCGCGGATTTGCCAGAAACAGGTTCGCGACAACCGGTGAACGCAAACTCGGATTCGACAAATGGAAATTCCTGCTCCTTTTCTTTCCTCAAACTGCAGTCCAAAAATAATTGATCAAACAGGAATATTGATTCTTTGATTTCGAAGACTTTGTCAGTCAAATTGAATGCTTTATCTCTTCACTTTCATAGATACCAAAGATTTCGGTTAGAGAGGGTTAACCGAAGGAGTTTTAATTTTGATCGTTAACAATTTTTTTATTAGACACGCGAAAGGGAAAAGGATTAAGAAGCGTTTAATATGTCGAACACGGCGTCTGGGATACTGTTTGTTACGTCGTTAGCTGGACATTTGAGATCCAACAGAAGATCTGCCAAAGTCACCGAAGAAACGCTAGACGAGCATTCCGAGCCGCAGAATGCTCACACCCACGAGAACTGCTTCTAAACCGGTAGAATCCAGTTGGTAAAACGATTTATAATCCCGAAGTAAACTCATATAGTGCATTAATTATATCGATCGCTCTGAAAGCATTTTCAAAGTGTCTCTGAATTCAAATCTGCCGATTAAGAAACCAGTTTTCGTACCGATTCCACCATTTCTCTCGGCCGTCGGTCCTACTTGTTCCTTTTATTTCTTGCTCGAAATACTTCTCTGTCGCTGCTTTTCGATACGATACACCTGGTTGAACTGAATTTTCTGATCTGACGTAATCGATTCGCTATTCATCCCTAGGTACAGTCATCGGTTTTTCATCCGATCAACCCTAAATCCTAATTTTACCTCTGACTACTTCAGCTACGGATAGTGAATTTCAAACAAAAGGCCGACCTGACTCATTTCCCAAAAATAAGATAACGTTATGACACAATTGTGCATCATTGTCACCATAGAATCACCATAGAATTAGCTCTACGTATAACCGGAATAACACTGGACGATAACTCAGAGTTCCAACAGTATAAATTCAGTTTATCAGTGATTTGATGAAATAAACCAAGTTCTACCGAATTATCCATGTTCATGGAACCTATTAATCTCCGACGACGAGGAATTCATGGAAGAATTGCGAAGTATCGGGAGAAGGTCGCGTCGGGCAGAACATCTCGACGTGGTTGGCGAGGAGAAATATCGTGCCGGTACGGGCACGTTTCGTCCAAGCGGACGATGGGACGCGGAACGCGCGCGAGTAACGACGAGATCGAGTGGCGCGTAAACGCGATGACACAGAGAAGACAGGGAGGAAGGGAGGATAGAGAGGGAGGAAACAGAGAGAAGTGAATAATGACTTACTGTGAGCGGCAAAGGTCATGATGACGTCGCTCTGGTCGATGGCCCTGAGATCCTGACCGGTAAGATCGAACTCGCTGACGCTTCGTTGCTCGGCGATCGGTTTCTCGTCCTCGTCCTCGCCGAGAGCATTCTTGTATATGTCCAAGAGAAACTTTGGCGCCGACCTTTTCACCTGGGGAGGTCTACCGGCTGTGTTCCGCGGCCTATCAGGCAGTCCAAGAAGATTCAATATCTCGTGCTCGACCTCGCGTTTCTCACGTTGGCTGACCACCCTGTGCACGATCGTCTGGTCGAAACCATTGTCGACGTAGAGGCCGCTCATCCTTTCCGCGGCGGCGGTGCTCGTCAGCCCGGCGAGGATCGTCCCGAGGATCAGCAGGGGCGCGAGACGGCGCGGCGACATCTCGGCGCGTCTTTCCGCTCGAGATCGACACGGGCCGGAAGGCACCATTCTACCTCCCGCCGCTTCCACCACCACCTCCACCAGCACCACCTTCCCCTACGCCACCGCCTCCTCCTCCTCCTACGTCGGCGCTCGCACGACGACGACGTTGTCCTCGTCGTCGTCGTTCCTATCGAACCACCAACGTGGACGCCGAACGGGACCGCCGACTCGGCGGCGATCGAGCCGCGATCCAACCGCGGTATCGATCGATTTTTTATCGATCCTTCAAAACGACACACCACTCGTACGCGAAACTACAATTTCAGTACTACCAATGTCCTTCCTGGTACACCTCTATCTTTTCAAACTTTTCTTCTCGCCGATTGTCCCGCGATGATCGAGATTCAATTCGATCGATGATCGACGAAACACATTGCGCGCACTTTGCTCAACCGGCCAAAGAACGATTGAAAGGATACACGCGGCGCATGTTCGCCAAAACGCGCACGGGTTACTCTCGAGGAGCGTCTCGGTGAGCACCGGTGACCACTGCCGCCGACTCCCGCGATGCCAGTGCCAGTCTGTTTGTCTGGCCCGTGCGGTGCACCTCCTCGTCGTCGCTGCTCCTCCGCGAGGCCTCACCACCGCCTCCCAGGGCCGTACCGCTCCTCCGACAGAGCCACGCCTCGCTTTTGCCTTCCTTCGCCTTTACCTCTCCGACTCGCGTCGCGTTGCCTCGTTTCGCTTCGCTTCGCCTTGCCTTGCCTTGCCTCGACCTGCCTCGGACTCGCTTCGACTCACCTCGCACCGCTTTTGCCTTGCCACGCCGGTAGCCACGCGTACATACTCTTCCTCCCTTACCCCCTTCTTACTCCATCCAACCTCTTCTCTTCTCGTCACTTCTTCTCTGTCCACAGTGGCACTTGCGATCTCTGCTAAAATTGCTCTTCTACCGATCGCATCGCCAATGTCCCCCTGAATTTTCGCGCTTCGACTACGTTTTCGGGGACACTTACGAGGGGTCTCCGTTTGATCGCTATTAATTCGGTGAGAAACGATAGGTAGTGAAAGGTGTGAAATAGAGGATGATCCTTACAGGGATACTCTGTGAAGTGTCGTTGATTAGAACCGATTCGGAGCTGTTCAGTGGTCCTCGTGACGTACGATTTACGAAAGCTGATTTCTAATCTCCGCTTATACAAACAGTATCATTAGATTTAGATCAATTCTAACGGTACATAGTCCTCTACGATCGTCATTTCAGCACTGTCACTACGTGTCCCACGCGTTCTAACCGACTTTACTTATTCGACTAACGCAACGATCAACGTTAATTATGATCGGTAGAAAACATTAGCATTTCTCAATGCATTCCTTTCAATTGTTCAAAGGATCAACGTTGACCGTTAGCAACGTATAAAGACATCGCGAAACACAGGTACTATCGTGCGAGGCAGTTATTTTCCTGTCACACTTTATTGATTTCTTCGACTTGGCACGAGCGTAAAAATATCCGATTAATTCATAAATCGCCGTTTGAACGAGCAACGTTCGATCGTGCCGCTTTCGTCCAACGAGGAGAACATATCGCCGTGCCAGAGATGGTTGTGATAAAGAGAGCCGCGAAAATGAAGGATAGCTGGTGTAAAGGGAGAATTCTACATATGTACGCTCACGATTAGATTGTTCGACGAGTGTGCAAGGTGTTGCGTACACAACGCTTGTTGTACGCCTAACGCGGCACTCGAGGAATGTTGCATGTAACACCACGTGTTTGCAAGGTTCCCAAGAGATTCGCGAGCGTGTATTACAATGTAATTATTACGTAACAGAAGGCTGGTATTATTTAAACGGGAGAGATCGCGTACAACTTGGAATAGAATCTGTATCTACGTCGCGTGCTTAGCCTGCTGCGCAAATTTTCTGCTTATTTCAACAAGAAATCATTGCAAATTTTACTTTCGCTGAAATCGCTTACAATTTTTGTTCAACAGAATTGATTAAGAAGAAGATAACATTTATTCTTTATTTTCTCAATCGAGTTAATCGATTGAATTAATTAATCTTTATTTCATTGAATTTTTTTCAACAGTTTATATTCTAATCGCGTTTTACAGATTCACTGTATTGGTGATTGAAATAAAATTTTTCTTCAAACTCCACCGAATTTTCGAAGGCATTTGCACGTCCCTGGGTCATAGAGATAGGACCGCCCCTGCCGAAGAAGTAGGCGGCGTTCACCAGCCCTGATCGTTGGTATTACTCGGCTCTCTAACGTGGTGCCGGAGATCAGGGTTAGCGAGGGAACATCGTGCGATGGCGGCCGACCGTACCGTGAACATTCTTCTTTCACTTTTTTTTTCAACCCCTTGGATCTTTATCAGCTCGTCATCCTGACCAGTTGCTCGCGATTTCCTGCGATAGCCGTTGCCAGTTTCACCGATACTCTGTATCCGTAACAGAAAACTGTCCTCCGTTTCCGGTCCGTGAAAGATCGCTCTTGCAAGCTCGTCGATGCAGAAAAGAAAAAAAGAACACGCACGGACCCGAAAAGAATTTGTTTACTGGCCTGTTTGGTAAGAATGGCATGCAGTTGACAAAGTTGTTTGAAAGTTGGTCATACGAGAAATTCCTCGAGGATGCAGTCTTTGGAGAAATTTATTTTTGGAGACGGTGCTTTTGCTCGGCGTTTTAAAAAAAAGACGATGATACGTCGCTTCGAAGGTAATTTACAAATTTAATGAGACGACAGGCGCGTTGGCAAGTTTTGCAACTGATTTCGCTGTTCGAGGTTGTGTCGGTGTTTTAGCGATACCGGAATTCATAAACACGTGAAACTACCGGGCGATGAATTTATTTATAGAAATAACGGGCTAATTAAAAACTTTGCGATTAGAAGAAATGTTATACGAAAAGGAACAAATTTCTTGTTATATTCATTGAACATGGTGATCTTTCAAATTTCGTTTTGCATAATTAAAAATGTACAGCTTTGAGAATTGATAAATCTTTATTTGATATTTATTTCAATTAAAAATGTAATAATAATTCGATACTATTTATCACAAAGTACAAATTAATGAAGCTATTGAAAAGAGACTTTGAAACTCTTATCGTTAAATAAACAAGTGAAGTATCTATAATAAACAACGAATATTGGTACATGATTAGAAGGTTCAACTAGCAAATTTTAATTAGAAACAATGAAAAAAAATAAATCGTGTGTCATATTTATGCGCAATCAGCCATAAACGTAGAAGGGGTCGGGGTGGGCGGACGACGGTGAAAGCGAATCTGAGTCGGTAGTATCCATTAATATGCCAATAAAGCCAGCACAACGCTTGTAATATCCAGTTTGTTGTAAGAAATATTTGTTTACTCGACACAATTTCTTTGCTGGCAGACTTCACCACGGAGGTACGAACCGATAAGCGCGGTGAAAAATCTGCTAAAAGGTAACCAATTCGGTTCGCAAACGCAACTTTTCTAATCAGATTTTCTCGAGGACGCGCGATGCGCGGACAAATAGAAATTTTGTCGAGGTATTTTTAAACGTGATATCAAGAGATGTTGCTTGTTTACTACGGACCCGTTCCTTCCTTTCCATCTGGATCTGACTTTATCCTGACCATGTTTAATATTCATCGAAATTGTGAACGGAAATCACCCTTCACTTCGTACTGAAAATATCATAGATTATTCATGGCACAGTTCAAAGAACAAGCGGAGCTTGAAACGGATTCGTTTCTCTTATTCCAATAAAGTTACCATTCTCATGACTAATTGAAATCAAGAAGAATGGACAGATTTTGTTGATAATGAAAAAGCAAATGTTCCTGCTTAATTACGCTTTAGACTAACGATGTTTCGTTGAATTCCTCTATTCACCGGTGCTAACAACTCCTACTGGTTTCATGCGACAACCATTAAGCGCATACCATTGTGATTCTTACAGGTGTCGGCTACACACTCAGACCGTATTCCGTAATGCTTGCCTCTTAATTCAAAGAGATAATCCTGAAAGCATCACCGGAAATTCCATTATCGATGCATACCCAGCTCACCCAATAAAACGTTCTGTAGCTTACAGCCCTGGCTCGTCATTCTGCACGTTCGTCGATGGAACTCTTGGAGAAAAGCAAGAGATGCTGCAGTTCGTTCTCCGTCTCTTTTCTTCCTTCGGCACACTGTGTGTTTCTCGGCTGACCAACAGCAAACGGAGAATAAATAAAATAAATAGAGGAATATAGGAGGTAAATAAAAAATGTGGCAGCAGAAGAGAGAGAGAGGAGAGGAGAGGAGAGGAGAGCGGAATGGACACACGGGAGGGAGATAAGAAGAAAAAGAGAGTCTAAGGGAAAGAGGGAGAGGAAAGGAGCGAAAGGGAGAGGAAGGGGAAGGGAGAGTACCCTCAGGGCGAATTCCCGTCGAGCATCGGCCGCTGCAGAATCCAGAGGTGCGTTCACCGGGGAAATCCCTCCCTCGAAGATTATCCTCTCGAAGAAAAATCAACGACCATGCGTTTCAGTACGACGCAGTCCCACCGCCTGTCCCATTCATTTACCGTATTTTCTCGTGCAAACTTCTCTTTTGTTTCTTCGTCGTTAGGGTAGAACTCGAAATGATCAAATTTGGACAATTGTGAAGAATAAACACACCTTGGACATGTCTAGACAATTGAATATTGATTTGTCATGAATTTATAGCGTAGGAAATTTAATAGGTGAAGAATTTCAATGAATGAACACAAGAAAGCCCCCGGACAAATACATCTCATTACTACCAGCCAAATAATAACACCTGGACGAACCAATGTCTTAGGACTAATTTGAAGATTTGAGAAGAGGCGAATAGAAGACGATAATGAATTTAGCCGCGCACAAATCTGATCGGTCGTACAACATGTCTCTTCCCAGAAATCTACCGGTGAACGGTCGTCTCTCTTTCTTTGTCTTTCCTTGCCGAGTCGGCTCGGCCCCCTTGTATGTCCCTGTTGCGTTAGTTGGCCAGGTCGGTGCCAGGGAGTCTACCAACGATAACCAGCTGCGCGTCGTACCGGTAGACTGCCTGCTGCCTCCGGCTGCTCCGGGGACCCTGGGACCGGTTATACTTGACCCAGCGGTTTACACGCGCTTGCCGCCGCCAGCACCACCACCGCTGAGGTCGGATCGCGCCGCTACCGAAACACGTACCTACATTGCCTGGACAAACTCCAGCACACTTGCCTCTCCCTCCGTTTTGCTCTTTCTCTTTCCTACTCGCACTAACAACCATCTCCGATACATGCTACCTCAATCCATCTCACCCCTCTCCAGCTCACTCTACTCTCGCACTCTCTGAAGATTTTTACGTTTGTTTTTACATATTTGACGAGAAAATATGTTGAATTATTAATTTCGCCCTTATATAAGTGGATGGAACATGGGATACAGGCATGGAGGATCTTCTGAAGCTTGCTGATAAAATGTCAGCATCAAACAGTACTTCCTGTTTTCAAATTTAATTAAATGGATTTTATGATTATATTAAATAAAGTAGTTAGGAGCGCACGAGTAAGATATGTAAAATACAGTTTAATGAAATTTGCTTACGAAGTAAATTGTCCTTAACGTACTTTAAACTTGTATAAATACTCTCTCACAACATTCCAATTGTAAATTTCTAGTATGAAACTTGTACAATTACGGTATAATGAAATTAACTTAGAAGTATGTACAGATGCAATGTAATCTTTCTAGCAGTGTCTTCACTTAACATATTTTTCCATAAATTTACGATGAAATTCGCTTCTTAACGAGTCATTTATGAACACATCATGCTTCTTTTTAGGTTCGGAACGAGCACAGTTCTTAAACACGACGTCATCGTCCCATCGTCGCCTGACTTTCATGTCCGTTCGTGCACTTTGAGCTGAATAATTTAATAAAGGATTTCCTGACAAAATGTTTTCCATTCTTATCCTTTCTTCTTCCTGCCGTTTCTCCATTTCCTACAATGTTAAAAACAATGTTAGAATGAAAGTAACGACAACTTTAAGTTTTTAAACATTTGTAAAAAGTCAAATGCAAAGTTTTACCTTTTTAGCCTGTTCCGCAGCCCTTTCCTTCTTAATGCGCTGTAATTCAGCTAAAAGAGCTGCAGTATCATCCTCATCACTTTCGGATTCTGAATCATCATCATCGAGAGGATCATCTGCATCTAAGCTTGCTGTAGGAACTTGATCAAGCTTCTGTCTTTTTGCACTCGACGTGGAAGTTTCTCTAGGTGCTTCTATCATACGCCGATTAGAACTTTTCTCCTTCTCCCTTTCACGTTCACGCTCCTCTAATTCTTTACGGAAATCACGATTCCTCAATTCTTCTATTGTTCCTTGTCCATGTTCTCTAAAATTCAGGTAAGGTTATGTTCTACTGAATTAAAATTTGAGTCTAATATTTCAAAACGCAATACAAATGGATACATATTATTTAAAATTTGTATAAAATAAATAAAATACCTATATTTTAGTTTTGTATGAGACGGTAAATCTCTACTGCTGTATTGTTTTGATATTGCACTTAAATCTTTTTCTCCACGTCCTTGTCCGCCTCTAGCAGGTTCAAATGTTGGTCTTGCAGCTGTAGTCATTTTGCTTAAAAATTATTCAATACCTTTGATATAATTAATTTACTTTCTTTTTATTAATACGTTTTACAATTTTTTAATATCCAGCTGATCGTTTATCACATCAAAAATATGCATTTGCTTGGATTGCATATAGTCTACACTACCCAACTCTGTATTAAAAATATGACTGTACTCAGCACTCTCTACCATCAGCACTGGAATTAATGTACGCCCCCTTTCGGCTCACCTTTGCCCATTTCTGGGCAGGGAGCGTAGGGAATTGCATAGCCGTATTCCTCTGTTGGTCCCTTTTCCATTGACTTTTGCACCACCTACCATCAATATTGAAATTAATACACGTCCCTCTCAGCCACCCTATTATTTCTTGTTATTTATGTGAATTACGCAGTCCTGAAACTAGTGGATGATTTTCGAATGATAATCGATAGTGCTACATTGCTGTTTACAGCTATTATTGAAGTACAGTTTATATTGTAAAATTACTAAACCCCAAGTAAATAACAAGTGAAAAGAAGAAATAAAAATTTGAAGTTTTAAGATGTATATAATTACTGAATACAAGGTTGAATATAAATATTAAATAAAGGAAGAAGATATCATTATTGTATATAATAACATTTTACATATCGTTATATATTTTTCAAACAATTTAATGCTTAATGACTTTTTGTATTTCATTGTATATAAATAATTGTGAAATACAATAAAGCATTTGTTAATATGCTATGTGTATATTAATGTTTATAGTAATATTGCTTAATATTATTCAATTAAATTAATTTGTTTCAACTACATTGCAAAAATGTTGACTCCCAGATTTGAAATAACCCAAACAGATGCAGAAGTTGCAATTATGATTCATGCACCATATGCTAATATTAAAGATACAGAGGTTTATGTTGAAGGCACAGATTTTAGATTTTATTCTACACCATATTATTTGAGGTAAAATATTTTGGTATGGAAGAGTTAGGTCGAAAGAGAAGAAATTCTATAAAACTTTCTATTTCAGATTGAGACTCCCACGTGAAATTGAAGAAAATGATTCATCATTTGGATCATACGATTGTGAGAAAGGAGATTTTTCTTTAAGATTCTCAAAAGTAAACCATGGAGAATATTTTGAAAATTTAGATATGATAAGTACATTGTTAGCTCCACAGAAAAAGAAGAGCACAATTGTTCCTAACATTGAAGTAATTGGTAAATATTATATGTATACATAATTCTCTTTTCAAGGTTTTTCATATTTTTTATATTATAGGCAATCCATCAGCAAATTCAGAAGATATGAATGAAATATCAAATGAGCATAACTCAACATTAAATGAAAATATAAATGGAGATGAATGGTACATACCTCAAAACAATCCTACAGAAACTATACCTCTTTTATCTTCTTCACCAAAATATGGTTTTGCAAATAAAATATCTGCAGCTTTGGTAGCTTTTGAGGTATAGAATTTTAGAATAACAATTTTATGTATCATTACTAATGTAAAAATTGATTATATTTTGCAATCTTTCTATCTTTAATTTTAGTCAGCTTGGATTAAAGAAGTAATAGATCTTCCAATGCCTGATACAACACTGCAATCTGAGAGGAAAATTTTAAGAGAGAAACGTGAACTTTCAGATTTTAATGAGGAACATTATTTAGCAGATCTCATGCAACCAGAATGTATAGAACCATACCTATTGTTTACTGCAGAGTGGGATACTTTGGAAAAAGAAAATATTTCATTTAATGAAAGTGAAATAGATGTATTGAAAGAGCTTCCGAATAAAGAATATTTATTAGATAATGAAGAGACAGATAGATTGCTTCTAAGCTTGGTTGACATTTTATTTGGAAGCTGTTATAATCATAGAACAACATTGGGGGAAAATACAGTTGAAAGTAGTTGGACTATCAATAAATTAAGTTCGACCTTATCTTGGTTTGATGTATGTTGGTCTTTGTATAAATTTGTTAAAATATTAATGTTATATGATTTCGTACATTTATAACAACGTTTATTTAGGATTTTTCCACTCCAGAAGAAGTTATAAAAGCATGTTTTAGAAGATCAATATGCTATCCACTTTTTCGAAATTGGAAGCTTTCTATAAAAGTCCTTGAGGATGTGAAGAAAGTTGTTAAATTAGGTACGTAATTAAACATTATTATTTTAAAATTGGTTTATTCTTACGTTAAATATATTTTATTTCAGGTAAAAAATATATTATAAAACGTTTCTGTGAAATTCACGGTATGTTTAATAATTCATGCGAACCACGATATATACTAAATCAATTGTACATAAAAGATTATCTAATTTGGTTGCAACAAATTAATGAATCTTTAATAGAATTACTGGACACTTTAATTGCTAATGTAAGTAGTTAGAATTTTTAGCAAGAACTCTATACAAAATATTAAAATATATATGTTCTTTTCAAGGTTCAACCTAGTAAGGAAGAAATGGGGCTTGATTTAATAGAACTAGAACAAGCAGCTTACTCTGTTCAAGAAGAAGATCTTATCATTGAAAATTCTGTTCACGAGGTGGTGGATCAAATGGATGAATTAACAGTTAATGACAATGACAAGAACAAGTAAGTAAAAGAAATAATATCCTTGGTGAATGAGCGAAATTTACAGTTTTATTGGAAAATATTATGTCTTTATGTTGTATAATTTTATTTTAAAGGCCAAAGACTATATACTACATTAAAGACAAACATTCTTTAAAATATTTGTAAGTATTTTAATAGAATTGTTCCGAATAACTTGTTTTGATAACTTTATCAATTTAACAAAGCTTAATTGATTATACCCCTAATAAATGGAATAAATAATTGTAATTACAGTAGGCTTCCCTAGAGAAAATGACATCACCATTTTTGTTAAGGAAGCTTACCATACTCGCTACTGTACATATCATATGCCTTAATTTATGGTGCACCAATGTAATACACTAACTGAAATGCACATCTCTTTTACAAATCACATAAATATCAATTTCCAACATCGGCAGTTAATGATATACACATAAAAATAATAAATTGCAATCAGATTTGCACAGAACGCATGAGATAATTGCACAATAAAAAAAGGATGTAATTTATCCTTTCATGTAATACATATATAGTTTGTTTTCGTACAGGTTATCAAGTAGCTCGAGTTCAAGCGACAGCAGCGATACAGATTCTGAAAGTGATTCTGAAACTACTTCGAGTACTACAACAACAAGCGATAGTAGCAGTTTAGATTCTGATGACACGAGTGAACCAGAAGGATGCACTTAACGTTTAACTTTTACATATAATGTATTTCTACATCCTTGATAACGATATACTCCAAAAATCTGTGTAAAAACATCTTTCAAATTCTTATATTTATTTAAATACATATTTTAATGAATAAGTAAAATTTCGTGTATTTATATTAATACAAGGGATACGGAGATATAGTGATTTAGTGGTAGTCCCCGCGTGGCTCATAAAAAGAATGAAGAAATAAATATCTGCGTAGAGAGGCCTTGGTCCATAAAGAGGAGTAGGATAATAAATAGTTAGGAAGCGTGGGTCTTGGCCACTAAGAAGGATAAAATAATTAATAACTGAAAGGGTTGGCCTTGGTCTATAAAGAGGGATAAAATTATATAAATAACTGGAAAAGTGAAATAAAAGGGGTCTTCAGCGGAGGCCCAGAAGAGGGATATAATCATAAATGTTATTCCCCTTCGATGAGTTTATTTAATAAACAAAGAAAATAAATAAAGTAAATTAAATAAACTCCGGAAAGAAATTAGAGGACAATTATTACTGATCGTGCCCTCTTCATACGGACCTGATTTTATCCAGGGGTGTCAGGAACATTCATAAGTATAAATTATAATGATTTATTGAAATAGAAATTTAGAAAAGGTTAACATGTCCTGATAGTTTGATGAATGATGAAGGAATGAATGTACAGAAAAGCTATTTGAATTTTATTCATGAAAATAAATGATTAACAAAAATGTTTGGTAAAAGCAACGTTGAGAATTTCTCCTGAATGAACATTTTCTTCTTTATCAACTTTGACGCCGGCCGCTACACCCGCTGCGCCAATGACGCCCTCTGGATAGCGATCTAATATCATCGTGGGGTATCAGGGACCCCGAAGCGCCCGCTCTCGGAACACCGACCTAATATCCATTTTGGGGTGTTACAGACCCCGAAGCACCGGTGACACTCTGCATACCGACATTATACAGTGACTACTATCTATAGTCACTGCATTATAGCATCATGGGTATCAGGAACCCCTAAGGTAAAATGTACAACCCATAAACTTTCTATAGAAAAATTGAAAGCTCTGTAATTTTTTACGGTTTTGAGCTAGTCTCAGCGAGAACTTTAAACTACTGCTAGTAAAATAGAATAATCATCAATGATAATTTTTTGTCAAATCTTTATTTGCATCTATATTTATTTTTAATATCGTTCTACATTGACTACAACTTTTCTATTGACTACTCCCAACCCGAAGTTTAGCTTCACAATATTTTCGGAAAGAAATGGGTTAATCTATGGATTAATTTCTCGGAATATATTGCCTAAAAGAATTTTTTAAATCGACGTTATTAAACTTCAAATTCTTTTACAGTATATTTTAGCGTTTATGGAAATTGAATAAAAATGAACATATTATAATATAAACAATTGACATACCTTACAGTAACACCTGTTGTGTCAAATATTCTCCGTGCAGCCAGAACGTCGTTCATCCCTTCATGTGGGTTGTCCTTATATACCACAGATTTTATTCCAAATTGTACTATTAATTTAGCACATTCATTACATGGATGACGAGTAACATAAATGGTGGAGTTTCTAATATTGCAACACGTTTTGTTCACAATGGCATTAAGTTCTGCATGGCATACTGCAAATTTTCTGATATTATTATAAAGATATAGTGCCAAAATAAATCACGTTGTATAATTTAAATATGAATATTTAATCCACTTTTTTCGAATTAAATTTGTATTTATTTTTAAACATCAATTAACATTTGCTTACCGTATGTTAACTTGCATTCTAAGAAATTATGTTTATTCTTTTTGAAAGGAAATTCGCTGTCACGATAATCAGGCATTGCATTGTATCCAACGCCTACGATCGTTTTTTCATTGTGTACTATACATGCGCCAACTTTACAGTTTTTATCGTTACTGAGTTTTGAAGCAAGAAGCGCAATTCCCATAAAGATCTCATCGGTCTCGATTCTACGAAAATGAAAAGTAGTATAAAATTACATTAGTGATACATAAGCATCTACATTAGTAATACTTATACACAATTATTTATAACACTAAAACTGTTGGGAAGAAAAATACTTTTTCAAATCGGTAACATGTGACATCCATATTGTTATATACAATATGGCGTGTGATACGAACCTTCCTTCTGGATGAGCTAGTGCCATTTTTATTGTTCTTAGTTTTTACTTACGTTGCACGCACAGAGTTTATAATCCCAAAAATTGTATACAATGATAGCTATTATTACTATATGTAACAAATGTCATTTAGCACTCACTGCAGGCCTTTATATAATGTTCATTAAGTGATAGATACATTTTCCAATTCGATAAGATTATATGATCCTTCTCTACCAACCCAGATAACACAGACAGGTCTTATTGTTAACAATAATGCAACTGGTTTGCACGATTAGGTGTACGTAATCCAACTGATAGTGCTACAGGAAGTGATTTTATAGTGCTAGTCAGAGTTTCCTGAAAAAATAACGGAACTTTCATAATCGAGAAAATAATTAAGTAGATATGCTTGAATGAGTAGTTGATAAATATGATGTAATGCCTGCAACTAGTGTTAAATGATAATTATTTTTATGCTTGTGCTTTTATGTTGAAAGCAAAGTTGATTGCAAAAGTTCATAGATAGCTGAGTAATAGAAGCTGAGTAATGAAATATCAAAAGTAACATTCCATCGAAGTAGGTATAATCGATAAAGTCTGTAATAATCTGTACGTGGCAGAGTTTAGGACAAACTTCTTAGACACGACAGGGGTAGTTCCTGGTACCGATAGATAATCATTCAAATCCTTCATCTCCATGGAAATTTGTCATTTTTAACCCTGGAACGGTGGGGGGCAGGTAATTATGATCCAAAACTTCGAAACGCATTCAACGTATCATCGAAGTAATTTTTATTTTCTGTCGCTGGAATTATAATTAGGTACTTTATTAGGAAGGTTTATTTTTATAAATGTGCATTTATTCTTAATTATCTAAATGATGAGCGAGTTGAACACTCTAAACCCCAAGGTTCAGGAGGCTTTTTTTAAACGCCGTGCTAGGCAAATGAGTATACTTGGGCGCGGCACTGCAGACACGTTTTTCAACCCTTAAGTATACTTAGCGTTCCCCGCAAAAAGGGCTAATAATTCGTAAATTGCGACATCCTTTGCGTAATCGGAAGGTTATAATTAGTTTTTACACTAAACGGATTTACTCTTTTAGACTCTGACGAATTGAAAAAAAAAAAACGACTCCATCTAATGTACTCGTGTACCAAGAAAATATTTTGTATATTGAATTGATATGAAGTTTCCTATTTGATTAGTAATATCGAAACATGATTTCAATTAAATGTAACGTTAGTCACTTGAAAGTACTAATTAGTTGAATACGTTATCATATTTAATGATACGTCTATATGTATGTATGTAATCGCTAAATGTTGTTGCTGAAAATAACTTTCTTCCTCCAAACACCGTGGTTAATAAAATAATTCATAGGATCGTGATGCTATTTCCCTAGGGATCATCATACCCTTTGATTTTCCTTTAATACTTTATCGTTTAGTCGCAGTTATCTAACGTTCCTTCCCTAGATGTTGTTTCCTCTTGTTATTCGCCTTGCATTAAATCAATAAATTCAAACTTCAACCAATCATATCATTAATAACCAACAAGAACAATTATTGATCCGTATTTGATTTCTTCAATGCTCTCAAACTGAATGAAAATATCCGTAGGAAACAAAATTCGATAAATTCATATCTTTTTATTCTCGAAAGTACAAGCAATGTAACACGATGGAATAAAGTTTCTTCCTTAAGTACAAAACGTGACAGGAGAAACTCGTCGACGTGCCAAAAATTGGTCCGCAGAGTAAGGCCCGGAGGATAACGTTCCTGGTCGCCAGAGAACGACGAGTATTGATTAAGGGGTTCGTCGGGAGGGTATATCCTCGTAGTCGAGGGGATTTCCTCTGTGAATGTGCTGGGGATGAATGGCGGGGGTTGGCGAGGGTTTGAAGAGCACTGACACGGGCCAAGGGGGTGTTTGCCCGATGTACTAGCTCGTGTGGATCCTATATACGCAATGGGTGCGTGCGCTGGCGCATGCGCACCACTGTTCCAACCTTCTGCGCATGCACGTTTTCGCGCGTATTTGCAGTGCACGGTTGCTGAGGCCGGTACGCGTTGGCGTGGTGTTGCACGTGGTGTTCCTTGACGATTGACAAACAAACAAAACAAAAAAAAAAAAAGAGGAAAAATAAGAAAAAAGAAATCGTAAAGTAGACACTTAATATCCTCGATTAAGGGCACGAAGGAAAGTGGCGACGCTTGCGGCGTCGTAATCTTTGCGTAAGAAACATCCTTCCGCGGGACTCGCGTGAGAACGATCGTACGCGAAGTAAGTACACAATAGTAGCCGTCAGCTCGTACCGTGACCGCTTGGAGAAACAGCGGGCGGCTCGTCTGTCTCGGTAACACCTCTTTCTCGCTCTCTTTTTTTTCCGCATCAGTTCGTCTCGCTTCCTTGCTGTTTCCCTTCCTTCGTCCCTCCCTCTCTTTCTCACGGGCACCGGCAACAGAACCGGCAACGGCACCGAAGGGCTGCAGTTGCGATCGGATGATCGACGAGTACGCGTCTGTCTCGTTCTTGTGCATCGTTCAAGAGTGTAGGTACGCTCGGAATGTCAGCTACCAACGTCTCGATTCTTGTGGGCTGTCTTCGATGAATCGGAGCGACAGGGAACACCAAGTTAGAGACGGATACGAGCAATGTTTACCGGGATCCGTCAGGTAAGAGACGTTTACGAATTGTAAAGGTTTACTTCATAATTCGATAGAAGCGGCATTAGTTTACGATTCTTTCTGAGAAAAGGACCGATAAGGGCGGGAGGTGGGGTTCGAAGATGGTAATCGGAGTATGTTATTGAGCTGTTATTGACCGTCTTCTTACATTACTATTCATTCTGCGCGTAATCGAGGTTAACTTAGAATTAATGAATTCGAAGGTTCGCCTTTCGACCAATAACGCGTTATTAACCCTTGTGTGGACAATCAGTTGTACGGCTACCTTATTAAGGGGCAATCGCTAAATTAATGAAATAAATGAAAGTAATATTAATAATATTACTTGAGTGTAACGCAGATCCGTGAAATTCTCCGCGAACGACTTGAAGTTCTATTACCTAAAATTTATAGTTTGCAAATTTTCCAATATTTTCGTCGCAAGATAAATGTAACGAGACTTAGCAAATTTCCGGAATCACCACTAGCTCAATCGATATTGGTGCTTGAATTATTAATTAATCAACGAGTGGTACGAGTGGTAGAGATACTTTGGAGGCAACGATAAGTAAGAGTCACCCTGCTGATCGTCACCCTTCGTTTACACTGTAAAATGTTTAGAATCAAATTGAACGCAATTGACGCGAATTACCAAGGGTTACCAACCTAAACGTGATCAATGAAAAATCGTGTAGGCATGTACCATTCCTGTTCGTTTATATTTACCATGAAACATTGACAGCAATGAATCAGAACCGAAGTTGTATAATCTCATTCCCGTCTGTTTATCCATTATCGTAGCCCAAGTTTCGTATACACTTTATTAACTCTCATTGTCGACGAATGTTTACCTCTTTGACCGGGGAACACACATTGATTGGTACTAATTATCATCGCTCGGTTGCTTCTCATCCACTCTTATGCTATCGTTTCTTCACAGTCTGCGTAGTAGCTGCTTCGCTCCTATTTAACTCGTATTTCATTATCTAGCACGCTAAACAAACTGAACAAAATTGACACGAAAACATCATTGTACTGTAGAACGAGGCTTAAATGGCGTTTCTTCGTATGCGCGGTACGACATAAAGTCATTAAAGAATTTCTAAGGCGTCGGACAACGGCCTGCCTTTACGAGCCTCATTACGCGGCATAGGCGAGAAGCAGTCTTTGGTCGTCTTGGTGTAATAAATATACAAACATCGTCTTCTTCTGTAATTGAGGTTGCCTTTTAATGCGATGGATGCCCATTTCTCTGATAAATCACTGGGACAAATGTTTGACGGCCAACCTGGCCCGACCCTGTTGGAAAATTGAATTCCAGCTTACCTCTAACAGAATCGCAATTATTCTAATCCGATGGCAGGGACATTGATTGAAATCGTGCCTTCGTAGTCCTCGATGACGAAAAGCTTTTCTTTTGAAGCTAACGAGGGATAGTAATGAAGTCTGAATCACTCGTTTCGAGGAAGAACAATTAGACGATTTAAATGGGACCGATAAATTAAATCGTGTAAATTATTTCTTTAAATCTGTTCATCATTTGTATCTTTCTCCGAACCTGGAAGTTTACACTTTACATTATATATGCATGCAATTGCACGTTTGGATGATTCACAGTTATATTTTCATTGGCAACAACGTGTCACAATAAAATCCACACAAAACAATTTTGAAACAGTTTTCTTGGAAACACTATAATAACTCGATGGTGGGTTTTCATTCAATCGGTTGCATAATCTTTTCTCTCGTGTCGGTTCGCTCGAATGAAGCAACTCGAATTGAATTTTACTGACAATTTTTTATTAACAAAATATTGTTTGGCGATAAGAAAATATCGCGGCATAGATTAGCAATTTGCTCTTGGAAAATAACAAAACGATAACAAAAGTGAGCTGACAAAACATTCGGGCATCGTAAGTGCAGTTAATCTATGTTCGACGAAGTAGCGTGGATAAGCAGGCATACTTTCTTAATCGTTTTCGAAGTACAGGTTTCGGTGTTATCTTGGTGTTTTATGTCTTTCTTGTAGACTGCACGAAGCAGTTAGATCGCCCACTTTCAGTATAACGTTAACCTTTTCGACCTGCGTTCTTTTCTTGCAAGTGAGAAAATATTTTTATATGTAAATTTGTTATTTATCTAACTGCTGAAATTAAGAAGAAATATTTCACGTAGAAGTTGTTTGTTTCAGTGACAAAGCTTAAATTTCTGAAACACAAGATCTAAGTACCGTGCGTCGCCGACTTTCCGGACGGACCCTTGGTACCTATAGGGAAGCATAGCACGAGGAGAGGAAAAAATTTTTGGCCGCTTCTCTAATTTTCCGATTAGTAGAACGTCCTGTACCACGTACGCGTGTTTGCGATGGTCACGCTCCAAAAATGTTACTTATTACTTCAATCTTATTACCGCTAACGGAGCATTACCGCTCTTTAAAATTATATCTCCACGAGCCTTGTTCCTGCTTGTCTCTACTGCTTATCGATTGAATTCTGAATAATTCAATTTTAACACGTTGATCACCGTATACGAAGACATGTGTGAACATAAACCGAGACTTGGGTGAGTTTTTAATGATCAGGGTTCATTCTTATCCAGCGGTCACGCTATAGAATATTGTGAGCGAAGTCTGATAAAATGAAGATTGATAGAAGTAATTACGATCGAACAGGTTAAAAGGGTTTTAATCGACTAGCCGAGCGTAAGCAATCTTTTTCCTCTGTTTTCCTTGGACCTTGCCGGGTCTTTGGAAGGCGACTTCAAAGGGAACGCTGGCTGCTTTATTTACGTTCAGGTATACCTGTCCAGGGAATATATTCTCATTTCCTTCATGCTTTCTCGCAGCCATACCTACTGATCCTAAATAAAGTGGGGCTTCTTCTATCTGAACGTTCCATCACTCTTCTCTTTTATAACTCTATCATTCTCCTGAAACTACAGGTATCTTAAAATCACGTTCTGTATCGGACGAACCACGTAGAAACGTGTGGCCCAGTGGAAAGAACGGTAATTGGAGAGGCACGCTCTGTTTATGCGATTTAATTAATTCGAAGCATTTGTATCTCGCCGAATTCCTTCGATCTCTTTCTTCTCGTTAACTGACATCGAAATAAAAAGTGCAAACTCTACGCGTTCTCTTCGATCGGACGAGACTCCTGATTTTCTACGGTATTGAAATCGAACTCTGCCGAAGGGACGATCAGAAAAATAAACAGGAGAATTTGTTTTCCAATTGTTTTCGACTGCGTAAGGATACGCGTAAGCGACCGTGTAATTATTTCATTACGCGAAAGTTAGATCCCTGTTAGAGAAAAGACACGGAATAAGCTTGAACCACTTTTCCAATTTTAAAGGATTTAGAAACGTTTCAGGATCAACGATCTCTTTATGGTACAATTTTCCTTGCTATTATGCAACTTATCGAAGCAATTATAAATTTTTATTCTAAAACACGCATTCGATTGATCTTGAAACGATTGAAAAATCAATCAGAAGAGAATGTAATTTATGTTGCACTTTGAAACTTCGCTTGATTTTTTCATTTTACTCAGAAATTTTTATTTAAAAAGAAACTTTTTCAATGCCTGCTAGGTAAGAGGCTAGCTGCGTTCACAACTAATCCTGGATTATTTTATTATTGAAATTCCGGGAGTTTTCTCGAATGGCCTCAGATGGTTCTTATTAGGGATTACGGACCTAACTGTTCTTGCCCTTGCAGGTACATGGATCTTCGTGATTTAGGATGTAGAAGCGTCGACAGATAGTTCGTTAAGTTATAAACAAGTTGTACCTATAAATGTTTCCTCGGTTTATTATACTGGATACCGTTAACAGGCAGGTAGAATCGTCGGTCATCTAAATACAAATGGTTTCTTGTATGAAAGTTTGCACAGGAGAAGTTTACGAAGGAAACGTTTCATCGATGCGGTCCAGTTCTCTCGTTGCATTCAACGTCCAACGCGCTGATTTCAAAAGAATCTTTTCACTACCCTCCCGAACAAGGGAAACCCTTAATTAGAGCAACCGAGCGATTCTTTAAGAAACTCGGCATTCTGTCAGTCAAAGAAAAGCCACGTGCAACGAATTCCGGAATAAATAGAATCACGTGTTAGCCGTCATCTATTTTAACTTCGGAATAATTTAATTTTGGAATATAAAAATTGTTCAAAAATGGGTCTCTTTTAAATTTTTTAATGACAATTTAGACTTAGAATTTTACACCCTTTCTTGAAATATCTTATATTCCTTTGTTTAAATTCTTTTTCAACAAACGTAGATTTTTATACATATAAGCGCAAGATTGAAATAACTCAATAAAAGATTCTCGGTTTACAACGCGATACAGTGGTGTGTCTTTTGAAATGCACAGCAGGGTACAAAGCAGGATTTCTCTTTCAGGTTTCACGGTAGAAAAATTCTGTTTCATCCTCTTTTCCTCTCGTTCTCATTGCGTTAAACACTGTTATTACATTTAATCGAGCGAAGCTTGTCCAGCATTGAAACAGCAGCAAAACACGTGTCGGACGTGATTCGACTTTGAAGTTCAAAAGACAAATTGAGACGTTGAAACTGGTCAGAACTGGGCTGGAGAAAGGATTAAATTATACCTTGAGATTTCTTGATCGTTCGAAAAATGCTTATCTCCCGTGGAAGTACGACGGCAAAGACGTACAAGAAATCGCGAGTAGAATATCCCGGTTGTTGATGCAAATGGATTAAAAACAGCAACAAAACACCAACCTTCCGGCGGATCTAACGTATCGCTTTCATCGCGTTCTCCTGGAGGTTGCCACGCGACTTTGTCGGTTCCGTTTAAGGATGGCTCAACAACGACACTATCTTCCCGCCTAATCCGCCACCCACGTGCTCGACAATCACCTCTAAATATTTTCATTATAATCGAAATACCCGCGAAGAAATATTTCGAAAAATTGCTACAATTTATAGAAATTTCTATTGGAAAGCGTTTGATCTGATGGATTAAAATTAGAGAAATCACAACTAATGCGTTCGCGATCAATCCACCGCGTTCGTAGTGAACGTATTAAACAAGTAGAAACGTTGCCGCTTATAAAGGAAATATTGCAACGCGAAATGATCGCGAGTGATCGCGGTTTCAACGCGTAACACGTGCTTCGCTCGTAGCGGATTGTCACCTACGCGCGTCGGGAGAATTACAAACCGGACGTACACATCGATGAATTATATGTGCGACTAGTAAAGTTCATAGTAAGACTCGATTTGCTGGCACTAGCCAGCCGATATTTCTGGGAAGCGTCTAGGAAGCCGCACGAACGATCGACGATCCAATTCAGCGATTATCCGATCGTTGGGCGGTCGTTGCTCCATGGACGTGGACATCGATGTGGTTTTCTTGATTGAATAACGAGGCTGGCTCGTTGCTTATGTCGACGCGAGCTGATTTTATTAGGTGGCTGCAAAATCGTCCCTCCTATTTCGACGATGTCCTATTTGAAACGCGATTACCGTTTCTGAATTTCCGAAAGACGGAAATATTTCTAAGTATTTCAGAGAAATGATTAAGAAAAGTGAATAGGGAAAAAGCACGCTAGAAAGGTAGAAATTACAACAGAAACCCAATTTCCTTTGGAATTAGTAATTGGCTAATGAAATTATAAGACTTCACACAGATTTTCCTATTTTCCCATGCGCGATGGGAACAAATGGAGCGCCCTTTAATGCATTTTTCCTTCTCGATTCAACGTTAACATCCGTTGCTAGAACGTCTACACCTCTAGACACGATCCACTGTGTATCCGATGCACGACATTTTCGTGCGGCGTCAGTTGCGCCGCAAGGAATTAATTAAAATCAACGCAACGCGTGGGTGCTGCTTGGCATTTGCAACACAGCGTCGCTCTCCAAGTGGAACAATTAATTCAATCTGCTTTTTGCCGACCAACAGCCGCGATTATCTTGCAAAACTTGGAGGCTGTAAATATACGTTTGTGCAAATCGAATAACTTATATCGTTCCGTGGGCGAGAATCGCGTATTCCGTGGAAAATTGATTAACCGTGTCGTGGTCACCAGTTATTTCAAAGAATCGAAGAATGGAATCGTTTCCATTCTATACAAATTTTATATCATCTTGTGATATTTCCCTCAATTTAGACTGGATTGCAACGTGGGTGCTTAGAAAATAAAACGTGAAAAGATAATGCATCGGTGACACGAATACTGCTTTAAAAATCATACGAGACAATCAGTTTCCCAACCTCTGCACGAAACGAATATGTAATTAAGATATTATCCACGCACACGAAAATACACAGAAGGTTTCTCGTTATCTTTCGTTGCATAGGTGCCTTACCTTGAGACCGACAAGCTCGTTTCTCTGCTCCATTTATCACGATAACGCGAAAATGCTATTAATTGACCAGCTGTCGTTGTATAATCGATCACCTGGCCCGTTTGATTAATGAACAACTCCATCGAGGTGATATATTTCGCCTACACGTTCGCCATGAGAACGAGAAATCCTCGCGATTGCTCAGATCCTATCTTCTTAATCGAATGTCTCATTACGAAACACTGCATCGATTTCGTTTTCTTCGCCATCCAGGAAAATTGCGAAAGAAAGTTGTATACCTAACACATTCCACGTTTGAAAATAAAAAGTTTAAACCTTCGCCGTGCGAGGATTAACTACTCTTAACGAGCCAAAGCCGCGTTTCCAATAAAAAAAACAGAATATTGTTGCTCGGATATGAGCTTCGGTTGTCATCTGTTTACAAGAGATCGCGTTACATCGGACAGAAACAGTTAATAGATCGATGTCGAAGGACAGTCGTAGGTTTGAACACGAGACGATTATCAGGATTTTCATTTCATCGATCCGTAACGCATATTTACTCCATCCGACGCGTCACCCGAGGCGATAGACGCATCCTTTAAGGAGTCTGAAAAGATTTACGAGAATTTCATCGTTTTTTTCCCGGATTTCTTTTTTTCTGTTTCATCTGCATATTTTCCTCCTGTCTCTCTTGCGAGTTTCGTCAATCCTACGCGAACGGATTCAGCAAAATTGCGAAGCTCGGTGCGTGACACGTGTCGCGTCGAATGTTAATGGCGAATTTGAATATCGTTTAAATACGGAGGCGTTTGTGGACACTGCGAACTCGCGAGACGGTTCGGGAAAATTTGCATCGACTGCTCGGATCAATCGCTGTGTGAGTTCGATTCGCTTTTATTTCGTACAAATGAAGACCGCACACTGACTCATAAAACATTTCAACTCGTTCCATTTACAACTGGGTCATAGTTAACCCGACACGACAGTCAGATTGTTCCCGAAAACGAAAGACGTATACCGAAAAATCGTATCTTGAAATCGTGCTCGATCATGGAACGGTACACGCCTTCGTTCACCGAACAGCACTCGAAGCTGCACTCTCATCCCTCTCAAGGTTATCACGAAACATTACCAGCCAACATCCCATAAGCAGATCCCTGTAACATAAAACCCATTCATTCCGAAAAAGCACACTCGAGGCTCGTTTCCCTGGCTGCCAGTCATTCCGCCCGGAGACCTCCGAGCACCACTCTTCGTCTCTTGTCCCGTTTATGGTTACAGGCCGTGATCGCCTCTCTTCCGGCATCCTATCGTTTGATCCCACGAATAATCTCGTCTCTTTCATCCGAAAAGACGCGTGCGTGCGGTCACTGATTCCTTCCATTCTATCTGATCGACCGTTGGAGAACGACCGTTGCCACGTTTCTCTCCAGACGCACGATAACGTTTGGAATTTTCTCTGCTCTCCTCAGGTTCACGTAATCGCCAGACGTGCCGCATCCCAGGACGTAATCGGGACTGTGCAGTAGTGAAAAGATCAGGGGAAGAGCGGTGCATCTAAAAGAGGACGAGGAACAGACTCGGAAGAAAGGGGAAGATAAACGTCGAGGAAGAGGAGAAAGAGAAGCCGGTGCGGGCCACCGGGACACTCTTCTTCAACCCCTTCGCGCGAACCCCAGGATGTCGTACACCAATCGATTCCCTTCGTCTCAGCACACTCGTTATCGTAGCAGCTGGGGACCCACTTCGGTGACTGTTTTCAATCGGGCCGACGTACCGAGGCCTTCGCCGGAAGAGGAAGAGTTCGCCGAGTTTTATCACGAACGTCTGCACTCCGCTCAGAGCAGACAGTTGCTACCGCTTCAAGAGGATCTGGCTGATTGGATCAATAAAACGTTGAGTAAGTACATAAATATTTTGCAGAATTTTCTCAGAGGTATCGAGACAGTTTCTGGAAGCTTTGGATATTTTATTAGCGACGCGAATTCCGTGGAAGGATAGATCGAATTTTCGTTACAGCCTTAATTCGAGGCTCTGGGAACGAATTACGATAGGCAGCTTGCTTGATGTTGATTGGAGGAAATCTTTGGAAAGTTTCTTTGTTTTATTTCGGGTCGGGAAGTTTGTTCTTGAAAGGTGAGTGCTTGATTGGTTCGTAGACCATGAAAAAGGGTAAAGAATTAATTGGACTGTTTCGGAGCGGCTTGATTAGCGTAGCGATGCTCGAACGACTTTGCAAGCTGAACGCGACGTTATTTATTTGATTTGTAAGTAATAGTTGAGTTGTCAAGTTTTATAACCGGAAGAGCGAACAACTTTTTCGCGTGTCCCGGATCGCATGACGATCCGTCGAAAACGCAAGAAAACCAAAGGCCAAATGTTACGGATATCCTTTCCCACGTCGCACCAGATGCTGCGAAAACTGTACAAAGACTATACACGCGTCACATTTTCTGGCAGAGCCACGGATCCTCTTAGTAATCCTTATTTGAAGGCAAAAAGGAGAAATAATACGGCTCGGTTCTGCCAAGAACATGCGCGTTTAGATTGCCATGAATGACAGTAATTATTCACGATTATTGATAATTGCCTAAATGAAACGTTTGATAGCCAAGTATCAAAGAGATACGCTTCAAGGTCTGATAGATTAAATTTAACAGAATGCAGTGTGATTTGAAAACGATTTAGATGCTGTCCAATCGGACTGATGCGATGGCCGTTAGTTATGGATGAAATTTGCATCGATCGGAATGGATTTATTTCTGGAATAATTTGCATCGGTAAAATGGAATTCATTAGGGAGATGAACAGCCATCGAGTTTGTTTAAATAGAGATCCTTGAAAATCTACATAATTAACCCTTGAATTATTAATTATCAAACATCCAAGTTTGTAAATGAAAGACTTTGAAAGAATAATATTTAAAAAATCTGCCCAATTTCATCGATCAAACTGCGTCGATTGATGGAAAATAAGTACTATCGTAGCACGATACATTATCGAATTTCAAAGTAGGTGAAAGTTCCCTTCGTTTAGCTGATTACCGCGCGAAAACTTCTGAGAATCAACGTAGCATGGACAAGAAGAACCTTAAAACATTGTTTTCTGGTTCTGCCCGAGAAAGCAGGGGTAAGTTCAACGAATACGAGCCATTCTTTGAGCGTTGTCCAATCGTTTTATCTGCTTCTCGCTCTGAATCGTTACAGTTTCTGATTTCTCTGCTGTTTTTAGTTTACCTCGTTAACGAGACTACGGATTCACACGGTACTTTCATCTTTTTTCATTTATACCCTGAAATTGATCGGTTTTTAACATTCGTTGAATCGGTGGGTTACTTCTGCCGAAATTCTATGTAAACTTCTTGCGTCTCTTTCTGAACGGATGTGTTCCCTTTCTTTTTTATCAGTTACCACTTCGCGGAAAGTCGATGGTTTTTCTTTTTTCAATCACAGCTACTAGTGTGACCGCGTTTCTGAACTACTACCTTCCTAATACGGTGCCAATACGAGTCGATCAGTAAAATAGAACCGCCCTGATGTATCGGAGTCGCTGTTCGAAAGGTGTATCGTTCTAACAAGTAAATACACGCTATTCCTTATCCTACTTTTACTCAATGACTTGTGCTTCAATTTCATTCTGTAAAAAATAAATCATTTGTAACCCCTTTTCATGTAACTTTCTACTGAAAGCTTAGCAGACGTTTAGTGTGCAAAGATAACAATATTCGTTTAAGAACTTTGAACGGTCGATGATTTCATTTTTATCAATCCGTCAGTTAACGTGGTTGCACGTAATTCAAGTTAACTCGAAACCGTCCCCGTTGCATCCCCAGACGACACACGGTACCAGCTGGTTCGTGTAGTCGTTTTTCTCGGAGCAACCGCTCGTGTCGTAATCTTTCATAGTGGTCCAGATCTTGCGGCTGGATTCTTCGAGGTCGCAGGCGAAACCGCGATCGTCCACGCGGCACGCTCCGTTCACCAAAATATATGGCAACGTAACGAACATTTCGTACCGAAACAACCTTCCTTGACATCGATAAGTACCTCCTCGGTACGGCCCTGAAGATAAAATCGGACAGAGAAACGGGCAATCGGTTTGCTCTTTTCGAGAAATTAAATCGATTATCGCTTTTTGTTTTTTTTATTATTAAGATCAAAATCTTATTATATTATCAAAAATTCTTATCTACACAGAATATTTATTGAATATGTATATTTTAATTTTTATACGGCAAGTTATTTTATTAATAAATTCTGGACATTGTGATACGTGACAAATCGAAAGCATCGATGCCGATCGGATGCATCTAATTATATCTGAACGCAATATCAGGCTGACACGCGGCTGTTCGTGCAGCTTCAAAGCAAGAACGACGGAGATAGGTCGGCAGCCTTTACGGTAGAATCGTGTGGGTACCTTTGCCGTGTACTTACTATTCTCGTTTCCGAGTGTACCATTCAAGTGCACACCCACACTCGGCTCTGTGCAAGCGGAGACCGCTTGAAATGCAGCGTGTCGGTCAGCTCTCCTGTCTGCATTCAATCGAGGGGGAATTTAATGCGAGGGTGAGAGAGTTACGGGGTGTTTGCGCAAACTATATAGCGAAAAATAACTGGGAACCGACGTTTCGATGATTAAACTGAATTTATTCGTTCGTCTGTTGGTCTAATTAACGCTATCCTTTTTTTACGTAAATTTTCAGATCGATATCTAAAGTTAATGACCCTGCGAGGTTTAAATCTTTTTTTTTATTTGAAATTTAAACTGCTTTTGAGCTCCGTTTCTAAATTTGAAAGTTGCTTCAGTTTATCTCACTTTGTTAAATATTCACATTGCAGATAACAAAAGTTTCTCTGCTTGTCTCGATAAAATTGCAAGAAGCAATATCTCACCGGTGTCCTCGATTCAAAAACGATTTGTTAGATTAAAAGTTAGATATCAAAGCCCTGGAAACGAGTCTCGGTTTGGTCATCGAAGGCCATCGAACATTAAACAACGATGTTCTATCCACTTTATTGACGAAAGATCCACGTATCTTGTTAACAAACGTTGCAAAACCGTTTGGAATTTCGAAACATTCATCCGAACGGACATTACACTATAAAATCTTCCAATAAAAAAGAAAAGGTATCCTCCAAACGGTCATAATCTCTCCCACGCAACTTTTGTAACAAAGGCTAAACCTGAAAGTCGTTTGATCCTAGTCCAATTTAACTATCGAACGTTTTTCGGTGAATCATCGAAAGTCTATTAAATCCAACAGCAAAAAGTAAATAACCAGGAAGATCCGTCCCACGCGAGTGTCTCTTGTCGAAACGTCAATCATCGTCAGGCATCGTTCAAAGTCGTTTAATCGAATGGCCAAATTTTATCACGGCTCTGTATGAAAATAATACGCACGGAAGGACCTTTCGCCCCCACACCCTGCGTCTGCAGCAGTTGCAACGGGTCTGACTCAACCGGAAGTCGAAGCGGGCACCCCTCTTCCTTCGTGCCACTTCTTCTCCCTGGTCGCATCGCACGGGTACCTGAAGCCGCATTACGCATAATGGGCGTATGCCTTCCTAATACGCGTTTGTGTGCGAGCTCATCGGTTCTGTGGCTGCGGAACCGATGAGACGCGAGCATTGCGAACGGGCACGGGCCATGCACGAGCAGCGAGCCGTGAATCGTACAGAGGAGAGACCTACGACCCCGGCTACCATCGTACCACCACTCCGATATATCGCAGCGAAACGATTCGAGTGCTGCTAATCTTTCGACCAGACGAAACGTAACGATCCCCTCTGCAAAGGGAAAATTAACCTTCTCTCGATATCGTCAATCCTTCGATCAATGACGGAGAACAAATTTAATTTTAAATATACACCATCGTTCTCCGCTTCTTTCATTTAAAGACATACTGCGTGGGGTCTGAAGCTACCGCGTCACGATATGTTTTATGGCAACTGGTTATGTATCTTGCACGAATTAATGCATCGATCGAACAATGCCAAGGACAACGCGGGGAGGATATTCCGAAAAAGGCTTGAATCTTACTAAAGAGGTCAGGCGAACGTTCAAATCGAAGGGTAGTATCAAGGATATGCAGAAAATGCAGGTCACCGTGTTTCTTAGGTACAAATACGTACACGTACATAATCCTTCGTTATTAAGGTAAAAAGAAGGAAGGTTTTGTCGATAAAATCGATGGAATATTCTTCTTTTTGTATACAGCACTGGCAAGGCCACGAAGAAATTGCTGGTCTGATGGAAGACTTTCGTTGTAGCTGTTACTTTACTCATTTATCTTCGTTTCCTTAATAAATACCAAAGAAAAAAGGGTCACAAAAATCTGTTGAAATTCTCATGGAATAATTTCGCACCTGTAAGGTAATCCTTTCAAGTTTGTCCACAGTCACAAGTGTTTTCAAAATAAAACTCGTGTGTTTTAATGCAAAACGTTTTCACAGGTTTGCTTCATCTTTAAAATAAGAGCCGCGCATTCGAAAGTGTTTAGAGACGCAGAGCACGAGGTTCGCGTTATTGGTCGACGTGTAACGTCAAACATAAATTAGAGCCACGCCAGAGTATCGTGCAAAGTTCCGGGTGACCGAGTTGTTGTTGTTGTTGGTCGTCGGAGAGTTCGCACTTAAATACGCTCACGCCCGTGATCTTTCGCAATATCGAAAGAGGGTAGGCATCCTGGCAGCGCAGCCGGCGTTATCACGACCTCTCTGTTCACCATTGTGTCCCAACCATATGCGAACAATATTCGCGAACCAGATCCAACCAACGTTCGTGTACATGTGTCGTACACACGTGTCTGTGTATACCACGGTGCACGTGTGCCTCTTTACGGAGCAACGTGTGATGGACTTTACTCCGTAAGCCTGCCCGTTAAAACACATTTTTCCCATTTCTGCCCCGGGTGCAACCCTATTGTTACCGGGTCGAGTCACGAGCCTGTGCGCTGCTTCTCATTACCATCCGTATCTAGCAGGCTTTATCGCTCCGTCAGCCCAACCTAGTTCCTATTTCCCATCGTATCCCACCTATATCTATATACGTGGCACGGATCGTGTCGCGGCCCGTCGAGTTTTCCTTAGATTCTCGACCGTCGATCTGTTCCAACAGCGTGGGATAACAACGAGATATGTTCGCCGCCTTCTCTACCTTTCTTAACCCCATCGCTAGATTTATAAGCTAAGAACCGAAGCACTGAAATTCGCTCGAATTATTGAATACGCATCGAGCTTAAATAAGTCTGCTTCTTCTGTCTCGCAGGACACCGATGACGTATTTCGAAAAATCCTGGCCTTGATCCTGTTTTCACGGGCTGCGTGGAAACGAAATTGAAACGATCTCGAGCAGTCACGCGCGAGTTGGCCTCTCGTGAGATCATCCCGGTCGGATGATTTCTCGCTGGACCGGGCGTGCTTCGAGTATTCGAGCATGCGATTTTTCGTCGATCTCGCATCGTACACGTGGATCGAATCGCATCGATTCGAACCGGTGATCCTTTCTCTAAGTAGGTAGCGGGATGATAGATAAATCAGAAGCTTCAGAATTGTTTCTCACGTTCCCCTGACGTAAATGATCAATGGAACAGTCTATTTCTAAAATTGCTTCATTCAATTAAAATGATTCCTATCTTTTATTACCTATTATATTTCAAATGGTGAAGAGAAAAGGGACTGTAAAAGAGTGTAATTAAATTTCTTTTGACTCCGAAAAACGCGCATACTTTGTAGCCAGGAAATTCTGCGACAAAGGGCAAGTCACCCTACCATCGTACGAGAAGAATTCGACTATGGTGGAGAGCATAAGAAGGGTTGACTCCATTGTTTCCAACAATGACGCCACTTGGTGGATCCTCTCGACTGTTTTCGAGTGACCGTTTACGCAATAGGCCGACTCGTTCGTCGTCGCAAAGATTAATACATCGTTTGAGAAGCGTTACAGAGACGAATGACGAATTAAAGTTGTACGTGTCGCGATAAAAGATCGACGTTCCTTTTTCATTTCAGACGCTGACATCGTGACAGGGGACAACTTCTTCGAGGCACTGGACAATGGAGTGGTGGTTTGTCGACTGGCGAGGGTCATCCAGGAGAAGGCTAGAACAGCGATCGACGCCGGAAGAGCGAAAGGGGTATTAATTGTTCCTCGATGAAAGAATCGAATAAATAGGAAATGGATGGAAAATGTAACGAAAAATCATGATTTTCTTCAGCCGTTGCCACTGATAAGAGGAAGATGCTGGGAGAACGCAGCGAGGCGCAGCTTTTTTTCTCGCGACAACATGGAGAACTTCATTCAATTCTGCAGGCGTCTGGGCGTACACGAGAATCTTCTATTCGAGAGCGACGATCTCGGTAAATCTTGCTAATTGATTTTAATTCCAACGACACGAGTCGCGTTTATTACTCGCTTCACCCGTCGACACATGGCTCCGATTCGCGCCGATTAAAAGCGAGAATCCCGCCAATTACGTAGCTCAGTCCCGTTCAACAGGCTTACAATTAGAGGATGCAAATGTAAAGCGGCCATCGGGCGAGAGTAATCGTCGTGAATTAACCGCGACCCGACTGAAACGTTGAAAACGAGCTCCTCTCCTGCTTGTTCTCGCGCCTGAACGGCTTCGAATGCTATAGAAAACAATAAACCCGCTAGTATTCGCGCGAATGATGTAACTCTCTGACTACAGCGTATGCTCGGTTAAACGCTGTTACCGATAACGGATGGATATGCAGCTTTAATTTTGTAATTATTCGAAGCTCCATAACGAAGCCCCGATAGAAACACAATAATGATGGAGCATTTTTCCATTCGTTGCATTTCCTGAACAAAGCTTGCAATCTTTGAAAATGCCCTTCGTAAGCAGGTGGATGTGGGTTTCTGTGTCATATTCGTCGTCGGGTCCTAAATTGCTGTGCACGTGGCTCGTTTGCAAAGCTTTTGTCTCTGCACGGTCTCGCGGCCTGTAAGAGAAATGAATAGCTCGAGGAAGAGGATTAAAAAAGTTTGTCCATTGTTTGAACGAGAGGGAATTTTTACCTTTACACGGAGGCTTTGGTCGGGATTTATCGAACTGACTCATTTTTTAAAGTGCTTCTAGCACACGTTTGATTGCACAACGATATAAAATTTCTAATTCCGTCAGTGTTGCATGGTCAACCACGTAACGTCGTGTTGTGCCTGCTGGAGGTGGCTCGATTGGCTTCGAGATACTCGGTGGAACCACCTGGGCTCGTGCAGCTCGAGAGGGAAATCGCGGCGGAACAAGAGCGGGATCTTCACTGTTTGTCCGATAGCGGTATATCCCATAGTAGCTTGGTTTCATGGCAATTTCAATCACCGTCCCCGACTGCGACGCCCAGACCGCAACCAGAGAAGATCAAACACAGCAGGTACGTGTACCGGAATTATTTCACCGTGTTCGATACTCTTTCGAACAGTCTATTTGCTGAAAAAGGACTCGGCTAATTGGTAAATCCGCGAGGCGTTACGTTCTAAGAAAGACAGCGAATACCTTATCTTCGAGCGTAACGCAAGGAACGGCGCGGCGGTGTTTGAATAGCGTGTAAAGCTTACGGTATTTACGCTAAAGTCGCGGAGGATACGCGAGTGTGGTTATGATAAAAGTAACAGAACCATTTCAACTACCGTTCTGGTGAAAAACATTCGTTAGATTCATTCATTCAACTTAACCACAGGTGTACGCTTGCTTCGTATCATCGTTAATTGATGACGGAAGATAATTATGATTTATAGCTCAGCGTCGGAAGTGGCAAATACAGGGACGAGATGGTTAGATCCAACGACTGGCGTAACACACGAGCCGGAAATGCGAAGATCGGTGAGCGATAATGGACCAACGGGTAGCGACGGTGTACCTAGCGACACGACGGAGGACGACTGGTCTCGTGGAAGCGCGGAGGATCCAGACGAAGTTCCATCACCGTCCAGCTCACCTTTGCCCTCGCCGGTTGAACCTCCAGAACACACAGGACCGATAACGGAACTCGATCGCAAGGTACGTTGATCGAGGCGTTTTTTTGCCCATTAGATCCATTGACATCAAGCTGCTTTCTAATAAATTCATAATTATCGTAATTATACAATTATATCGAATTTGCGGTGACAGCATTAATGCGAGTTTTTTCGCTTTTCGATATCTCTCAAAGAAGTCAGTTTCACTGGCGGTAAAGATATGCGGGTAAAATCGAAGGCGAACGTTCAGTTTACTCTAAATACATAGAGAAAGACGAACGCTTCTCGTTGAGTCACGTACGTTATGAATGGCCAGGAGTAAGGAAGAAAGAAGAAAGGAACAATGGAAGTAAAGAGCTCGCACGAAGCTTTCTCACGTATGCGTTTGCACGCTCGCGGAGTCTCGTATCCTCGCACGCTTGAATTCCTGCATATCAAGGAGCGGATGTTACACGGATCGTCCCTGTATCTTCGACTTTCCCTAGCGACAAGTCGGCTCGATTTATCTCGCGTGACAGCCGATCGTTCTTCGTCCGTCGGAAGTCGACGTAAAAAAAGACACGTCGTTACCATTTTGTTGCACGACTTTTACGTTGTTCTCAGGTGAGGAGAGCGACGGAGGCTGTTCAGAGACTTTGTCAATGTCCCTCCGAGAAATGTTCGAAGTTGAAGGTGCGTAAAGTCGGCGAAGGACGGTATCACATCGCTGGAAGGAACGTCTTCATCCGAGTAGGTATTCTCTGTTGGAAGTCAGTGGGAGATATAAAGGAAGATATGACGAGTTTGAAATTTTAATAAGCAACTACTAATGACCACGCTACTGAACGTGTTCGCAGCTTTTGAAAGGGAGACACATGATGGTCAGAGTGGGTGGTGGATGGGACACCTTGGAGCATTTCTTGGCGAGGCACGATCCCTGTCAGGTGAGGACCCTCAACCGCGACAGCACACCGCCTTCTCCTCACGGCAACAAGCACGCCAACTTTCTTCCAATTCGCGCCAAGTATCGCAGTCCTCCACCGGAATCCGTCTCGGCCCGCTAGCCTAAAAGCACAGTGCCTCTTACAAGTCCACGCTACTTCACGTTCATGCTCTTCTACGTGTCAGTCCATTTTCGACCGGTAGATATCCGCGACGTAACGACTGGGTGTCGTTCACAGAGTAAACTATCGTTCGTTTACCAAATTGATTCGAAAGAGAGGAACACCACGCTGATAGATGAGCTGCGACACTAGATGCCTGATATTTTCCTTTTCCTCTTTTTTTTTTTTTTTTTTTTTCTCTTTTTCGAACACTTTGACGGCTGATATCACGTATTCGTGATCTTCAAGCTTATCAGTTACAATTTGAAAACGAGTAATTTTGCGATGTAAAGTCATACATTCCTCGAAATGTACGGCTCTCAAAGTGTTAGAGAAATCGAAGTGGTTTTGATAAACGCTAGTTTTCCTTCTTTCCAACCGCTCTAGGTGGTGCGTTGACGATATCGAGGGATTAATTCAAAGCTATCGTTCAAGTTTGAAACGCGAAGAGACAGCAGTATCGTTGTTCGACTATCAGCGAAACCGTCCCGGAGATACGCGATTTATATTACGCCTGTGCTATTTCACGATTCAATCTCCTTTTATTCTCGTAATCATATACACACCGATACCAAGTGCACCTATCTTCGTACATGCATAAGATATTACAGGGGATGGCACTATTTTTTCTTACAATGTCATGTAATGCGGTTGGGGAGCACTAATGTTTAACGTACGTCCTAACAAGCGTGTTAATATGCCATCTTCTCTCGAGGAAACGCGATATTTAATCTTTTACGATTCGCCTTGAACGTATGTATAGATTTAGATATACACAGCGAAAGGGTTTAAATGACACGCATTCCACAGACGACAGGCATATTGACGCTTGATTTGGAAATTGTCTAACAGAAACAGAAGGGAGGACGATGCACCTGTGGGTAGAGGTAGACGTAAGACCGCAATGACCAAAGTTCGGAATGATCCGCTGGAATGATGGCAATAATGGTTTATCGGAATGTTGTTTACCTTTAGGCATAACGATCTACATCGATCGTAGAGTATCGAGAGGTAAAAGCCATTTCAGCTTGGAGATGTCGACTCGCGCACGTAATTAAAAGCAAGTGCAATTAAGGAACTCAGGTAAAGTTACTTTCAATCGAGCTTGTCGCCTTACATCTACAAAAGATTATAATTTTTCGAACAACTCCGTCTTGGAATCAATTGCCAGTAATAAAACATAATCATGTTGAGATGTAAAAATTGTACGATACAATCTATTTTGTAGAGTACTGGTAGAAGGAGAGAAACAATATCTTTGATATTATACATTTGGTCATTGCAGCAATCTTTAATGACGAATCTCTTAGTGCACTTAATCTTCCGCGATAAGCAACGTAAGGCACATAGATTGTAAAAAATAACAGGGTCGGTTTCATTTTATATAATCTTTAATTATATAAGTCATTTATTTATTGATCATATATCATTGAATAGTATTCGACGATTGACACAAAATATTTGAATTTTTATTTATATAAATGATCGTATTTTGTGTTGAAAGAATGTATCTTTGACGATACGAGTTAAAGAAAAATATTTTCATCTAATTCATTTATTTCGAACAATCATATCCACCGACCCTGAAAGTAATTAATTACACTTTGGCACATAATCGATACGTATTCAATCGGCTATTACGCAAAATGCTTCACGATAACTGCCATAATATATATGTTTTGTACTTTTATAATAAACACCTAGGATAAGGAGTTCAAGGAGACTGTGTTGTGTCGAAATTACAAGACGATCTGTTTATTGGGTTCACAGAAATGCAAGGGCACACTGTGCAAAGGAATACCAAAGCAAAGAAATGCGCGACGAGTAGTGTCGGCACGTTGAGGCCATTAACGTTGTCGTACAAGGCTTTTTTTTTGTTAGACTTTTTCCCCAAGAAATTCACTGTATTATAGCGTTTGTCTTTCGTAAATTATTATTCGACGCGTAGTACGTAATCCATTTTCGTTTTTCTATAAAACGTTCCGTTCGTATTGGCGCAGAAATTCTATTTAAGTTGTAAATGATAACAGGACGAACTGCACTATTATTATTAGCAGCGATCGAAACTAAATTTATTTGACAAATGTATTTAGCGTCATTATTGCTACGCGCGAATGAAACAATTTCGCCATATTACATTATCGTAAAAGTGTTATTACCTAGTTGGATTAAGTTGTACAGTAGTGAGCACGGCAGAATTCCGCTGGGAAAATGGCTGCCCTGGTTCCCGGTTTTCTGGTTCTCCTCAGAAGCGTCCTCATCCGCGGGATTCCGCCTTTTTCCAAAGGCGATCCGATTTTCGTTAAATCACTTTTTTAATATTAACATAATTAAAATTAAAGTTCTGATCATTTTTGCTCCCCTTATAACGTTATTTTTCCTAGGGAAGTCTACTGTGCTCGATAATGTGCATACCTCTTTGTATTTCAATGCAGAATATTTTCTTTTATATGAAATGAAATTTTTCACTCGAGAAGGTATTTATAAGTTGCTGTCGTTTAACGTTATCTATAGGGTCCTTGTATTATTCTGAAAAAAAAGAAAAATGTAATTCTGTAACGCCAAGTTCTACAGATTTCGTTGAAAGGAAAATTAATGAACTTATGAAATGTGTAAATTAAGTTACAGTGCACGATAGCCATCTTCGTTATCTCATAATGATCTGTTTATTTTTTTATGATCTATAATGCGATACGTTTACATCGCATATCCTATAACTCATCTTTTAATTAATGTTAGCAATCAAAACATGCTTTTGTAAAACTGCGGGCGTTCCGTGTATTTCATGGAACGTACATAGACAGCTAATCGACGTTAGTTTTACTTGATTTAAGTACGATACTATTGTGTTAATTGTTATATTTTGTTGAACAATAAAATATTTAATTATGAATCTCTTCGGTATGCAGATGTGTAATTATGTATATTAATTAGGATGAGCATTAAGTGGACAAATTTATAGATAACAAATATATTTTCATGTTTTTTCTTTAGGTGCATATGATAATACAAAAGGTAAATTAAATTTGGTAAATATCACTTTTGTCGCAATGATCAGTCTGACATAAATAAAACCTATAATTACAGATATTATACGAGAATACTACAAATCCTGCAGCGCCTGGACACTTTGGATGATTTAATTTCAGTAGACCTGTTTCGAATAACTAAAATAATAATACTCGTATCTATAACGTTAGAAATTGTGGCGTAGTATTTATTTGTTAGAGTGTTCAATAATGGACACTTATTTTTTCTTGCTCTTTCCAAGTGTCAAGGTATGGTGTTGGGGTTGCTGAGCGAACTGAGTTTTCCGTCTATTAAATTCTAGGATATCGTCCTCGAGTTTTTTTCTACTTTCTTCCAACTTCTTCTTCTCTTCCGTATGATCCTTTTTCAGCTTATCAAACTTATTATGCAGCTGAAAAATATACAATTAATTGAAGTTGTTTTTACAAACAAGAAATAATGAGATCGAAAAAATCAAGTACCTCTTTTTCTGCTTCCTTTAATTCAGCCTCTTTTTCTTTTACCCGTACTACGAACATTTGTCGCATTTCATCTTCCTTTTGTTGGAGCTCTTGCAAGTGAATTGATCTCTTTGCTTCACAGGTTTGCTGGAAGCTAACCGGTTTGTTTTCACTATCAACATCGCTAAATCCCATCTGAAAATGAGAATCAATAATTAATGAAATACTCAGGAAATGTTATTTCACGCGAATCATTACCTGTTCCAATCTCTTTTTACGATAAAGTTCATAATGGCGACAGTGCGTTTTTTCTCTCATATCCTCCATATTTGTTCTGATCAGCATTTCGCGCAATTTAACGAAATCGCAGTGAGATTCATTTTCCACTGTAACAAAAAATAGTTAATAGACCATGTATCGATAAAAAAAGAAATAACCACACGATCGTTTACCTTGCACTGTTCCCCATGGATATTGACGAGAACGCATCATTTTGTTCCCAACTTTAACAAAATCGGTGCTACCAACAACTGCAAAAGGTACATGAGCATTCATACTAGTATTTACTTCTGCCACACTTTCATCATCAGTGGGAAATTGATAAATATGAACTCCATTATTTTGCAGTTCAGATATAATTTTACTCTGAAATTAATAACACACATTAAAAACATAATCCCATACTTTACACTTGCTCTTGAAACATACCTTGAATTTTTGCAACTCTGTTTTTGATATTGTATCAGCCTTAGCAATAATTGGAATTATGTTAACTTTTGTGTCAAGCTTTTTCATACATACAAGATCAATTGACTTCAACCTGTAATTACATATTTAATAAATAAGTAACAATTAACAGATGTGCCATAAAAAGAAGATCTGTATGATATATCTACCCATGACCAGTTGGACAAATAAAATATAGGCACACATGGATACGGCTATCATGATAAGCTGCTAGACAACGCTTTATCTTCAGTTCTTCTTGTAAATATGCCTCAAATTGTGCATCTATGTAATCAACAACAGCTTTAAAGCTATCCTCCTTATTAATTTGATCTCCATATCCAACAGTATCAACAATGGTAAGCTTTAGCCTCACATTACTCTCTTGTAGTTCATAAGTATGGGCTTTAAGCTTCACAGAAGGAAGATTATGTGGGCTCTGAGTGGATTCAAAGCTTGTATTAAACAAGGAATCCATAAGAGTGGATTTTCCAAGTCCAGTTTCACCTATTACAATAACAATTATAAGCATAAACCATTATCAAACAAGTAACATATGTATCGCATAAAGACAGATTGTTTTCTATACCAATGCAGAGAATATTAAATACAAATCCATTTTGGACAGATTTATTCACCAACTGATCTGGAAGACTGTCGAATCCAACATGACCAGACAATTTTAAATTACGTATGCTAGATTCCAACTGAAAATGTTGAAAATACATAAGTGTTAAGAATATCGAGATGGCCGGAAATTAACAGTACTATCCATAAAAGGAACGATAACGCTCTATGAATACTGTTGTTATGATAGAAGAAAGAACCAACGCCCTTCAGGCTATAAACACTATAAATACATCGACAAGAGTCGGAGTTTATGTTTACATACAAAGAAGAATACCCGTGTGATAGTTTGCAATAGAACAGACAGCCAAGATGTCTGTTATTATAACGTAATACAGTAGTAAAGTTTAAAAATTGACACCTACCTTGGCACGTTCAACTTCCACCGACGCCATTTTTAATCCTAGTGACGCGTGCGTTTACTCATACAATAGTTCCCTGTAATTCCACACACGTATGTGTCATAATTCATAAAAATCTATAACATTTATTAATTAAATATAGAGCGAAAGCAAAATATTTAGAGATATAGTATTCTAATTGTTTCGTGGCTAGCCTAAATTAAATTTGAAATATCTGTGACATAAATACTTATATATTGTTTATGATATTAACATTAATTAAATTAATAAAACTATTGGTATTAATCAATACTATTGTTGCTATATACGTCTATACAAGAAAAAACGCGAAACATTTATATACATATATAACATTTGCAGTTAATTTAATTCAAGTAAATTAACAGTTACATTTAATAACATTCATATTATATTATTCTTTCTTGTTTAATATAAACAATATGATTTCCATAAACAAACTAGAATGAAACATTTAGCTGTTTAATTTCACGTTCGGATTCAGTTGATTTGAACCATCGCGCTTCCCCCACTCCTCCGCAAAGAAGCGCGCGCCGCGCAGGTAGGAACTTAGGAGCTCAGTATGTGTCGGGACTGCGAGCGCGTCGCTAGGGTGTTTCGCGCTGCCGTGCTGGCAGGCTCCTCATAACAGTGTCTACTTTCTAACATGGCAGATCAATTTGTGTTGTATTATCATGTGACGGGTAAAAGCTCTCGTTCATAAGACGATCTCTGTGTAAACTATCGTAGATTTTCCTTCCGAGGAAAACGTGTTGCCAGCTTAGATTACGGTCGCGATGGCGGACATGAAAAGTCCACCGTTCAGTGACATTAAACGGCCCGAGGAGGTGGTGGCGATGGCGATGAACGACGGCCTGAAATTCGCCGTGCTGATCGGGCTGATCGAAGTGGGACAGGTGTCGAATCGGGAAGTTGTCAACACCGTGCTTCATCTGGTAAGTGAATGTTAATTATTCATTAAGTACTATCCGCTGTGCCGGTTATTCGATTCACGGCCATTCCCGCCGATTTCTCGACATCAGTCAAAATCTGTCAACTCGAACTGTCAAAGCTCTCATTGTACGACAATCGCATTGTCAATTATCTCTCTACTTACCGGAAATCGAACGCGATACACCGCGAGTCATTCGACATGAAAAACGTTTTGAAACAATGACGTTTCTCTTTTAGACGATCGTATTCAATATTAACGCGAAAAGTTTGTTCGAACCTAACGATACTCCTGCGGTTGAACGTGGTTCCTGTAACATGTTTTCCCAGGTGGAAAAACAATTTTCGTCCACGGAACCGGACGTCAAACGACTCGGTTGCGTTTTATCGTTGAATTTTTAATACACACACCGGTTTTACTGTCGCCGATTCCCTTTATGGTCGGCAACTCCGTTCGGCGTGTCGCGACACTGTCGGGAATTTTTATTCCTTCGTTAATACTTTTCACGCCTGTTTACCCTATCCCTATCTATTTTTATTCGTTATCGTCGCGACACTTTAATTCCATCCTCGTACGACACGCGTGTGTCACCTCGAATCGTCTCGAGAAACGAGGAAAGCGTGGAAAACTTTCGCACCGCAATCATTCAACCGTATGCGTAATCGGTCCAACTTTTATGCTCACTTTTTTTATTTTCTTCAATCATGCATTTCCTATTGCTGAGACATCAAGAAACTCTACGCTTTGACATCACATATTGCGTCCTACAGGATATTATATTATTCGTCCAGAGAATTACGCGTATTTCGATATAAACACAGTTGTCCATATGTATTTAAATGTTAATTTATTCTGTAATTTCCTTGGATTTTTCAGGAATTTCATTTCCTGTTTTCAACTTTTTAAAACTATTATTTTGGTATATTTAGCTTATTTATTTGCTTTCTGGACTGTTATTATTTTTTTATCAAAGGTTTCTTTTCCTTGTATTTGAATGAAATAACTAATGAACACGCGGCACGTAGAAAAACACGTTTATCGGTGTAATCTTGTCGCCGAGTTTCCACGTGCAACGCTCGTTAAAATTTCCGTCCATCGTGTCTCTTTACCTTGAAACGATGCAAATAGGTTAGATTTCGGTTAGTAAAATTCGTGGTACAAAAGGAAAATGATACGTTTCTTTTGTTATCTTATATTCGGACAATCTTATCTCTTTATTGAGCATAAGTTGATGATATAAGTTTCCTTATGAAACACATTTGAAACGTATATAATGATTCTTAAGAAGTCGTTGGCGACGTTGACCCCGTTACTGAATACACAGTCGTATCCTTTTAACTGATTCATAAATTCTTGCTAACCGAGGCTCGAGTTTCAGCCGATCAGATGCTCTAAGTGTAAACATAAACACGGACATCTGTTTGCTCGTATGAATCGTAGGTATTCATTCTACTGAAACTGAAGCCTCGAATGAGAGCACTTTATTTTATTTAAGGTTTACTATTTCTATTTTAGGCAATTATGCAGTTTACCGGCTTTTCTAAAATTTATCTATTTCATTGTAGTTTCTTTTTTCAAATACCTTCATTTTATCCCTAAAACGAAAAATTTATTTCTATTTCAATATCACCATTTTCACGATACAACTTATACCATAAATCTTTTAATATAGCTACAGTTTAAGAAAATAGTATTTTTGGAAATATTTTATCGAGACAATATCCTATTCCGTATCTACACTGTTATATTCTTAAATAAATGATTACTTACTCTGTACGTGTGTACACAGGTTTTATTGATAAAGAGTTAAGATTTCGGTTAAACGGTTACAAATTGGTGGAACGTGGTCGTGGGTGGACAGCTAGTTTTCGAACTGTGGAAAAGATAAATACGTAGCACGTGGCAGCGATTAATGTCCGGCCGTCCAGTCTGCACAGAGTTACGATCGCTTTCGTTTTTCCGATTTCGTTGCCCGTTACCTGGCTGAATTAGCCGACGAATATCTGTTCCGAACTGTTTTCCATTGATCTCTTCCATCCGGTTCGTGGCCGATCAAGAGATGCACGGCCGTATCGGCAAACGTTTGCTTCCATCCTCTTTGACCCTGAATTAATTAACGCCGTTTGTGCAGCCGGTATCGTCGCTTTTCGAGTACGCGAAACGCGAAGGAATATCAATGTCGATGAATAAACACGGCTGGAATCCTTTGTACTCTCTTTTTCTATCTCATCGAAGTTCATTCTTCAATGTGACTAATAAATAAATTTAATAGATCGACGTATTGACGAGCGTGTTAATAAATTACAATTAATAGTGTTCATTTTGATTGCGCGTAATAGATCGCGTCTTAAGTGGCAATGAAAATGAATAAGCGATTCTGTATGAAGAGATGAATTGAAAGTGGAGACTGAAGGGTTTCGTAGAAAATTGATTTTGACGATGTTGCCATGAATTATGGCCACCATAGATACCTTCCATTTTCGGGGTGAAATATATTCCTTCGTAGTAAGTTTTCAGAGTACCTTGCATTATTAACTTTGAAAATATTGCTTGAAAAATACATGATCTATCGTATATCCAAGCATGATATGTGAGAATAAATTTTTTTTTTTAAATATTTTCTTAGGATTTGAAATTTTCGTGATTAAAGTTAAGTTATTGGCCACGAAAGTATTAACAGCCATAAGTGCGTTGGTATATCAGGTGATTGATTAACGTATAGGTAATAATAATAGTTGAGATAAGATACGGATTGTTCACGAAACATATAATTTCCTCAAAATTATTTTCAATGCCATTCGTGTCATTTTGTTGAAATTTTCCAAATTCCGAATATGAATTTATATATAAAAATGCATTCAAGCGGTGAATGTAATTTTCATTGTAAACATGTCAGAAATTTGGGCACAGTTCGTGTGTATCATCGAATATCTTATCTCCTAATTATTTTGAGTGGTGTATTTCCACGGAACGCATATAGAGATTCTTATCTACGGACCATTCAACACGTTTCGAATCGTTTTCACAAAAAGTTTCTCGTTGCTGCAGTGGCACTGCACATTTGCAGGCTCTTTTATCAAGTCCGCGTATACGGCTTTCTTTCGAATAACCTTGCTCTAAATATACGCGGTAGGCAGCGTCGTTTGGCGGGAAAATTTGCCTAAGTAACTGATAAAGTGGAAGCGGTTTCGAGTTTTTCCGCGTGGTAGGATTATCCGTTTAGCTTTCAACGAAACGGACACGCGGGCCTCGTGAACGTGGCGCAAAGAAATTGGCTAATTAGTTGAGTAACTCGTGCTTCTTTCTCTCCTTTTCTGTCCTTTTTAACACGCCTCGCCTGATTATTGAGCACGTTAAACCAACCCTGGCACGTTTTCAAAGCGTTCCCGGGGGGAAAAACCATTCCATTTGTTGGATCAATATCGTAATTTGACTGTTCCTTGAAATTCGCATACGCAAAGTGGAGTCACTTTGTATTTCTTACGATCGTTACCTAAGGTTTTTATTTAGAATACGCTTCCAGGGGGATTGAATTAAACTCGTAATAAATTAAAAATCATTTTAGGATGCGCGTAGGTTGCCGTTCATCGTATCGTGTGTTCGTTCATGCTAGCCCACCATGCATCAAATGAATCGGCTTTTGTTACGTTCACGCACAATTAATCACGCGGACAATACACGTCATCCTATTCAACAGAGAGAGAGAGATGGCGATTTTTAGGAATTGATAATTAATGTAAACGAGAAACGGAGGCTCTTTTAGTCTGTTCGGGCAAAAATATCCTTTGGCGTTATCTCGTGATTATGGATGAATCGTTGGTTACTCATATGGATTTTATACGAGCGATTTGAGCTTGATTGTTTAATGATAAACGACTTTCTAATTACACTTCTCTTTCTTCTTTTCACGGTCGAGATATTATACCGAATGTAAATTTATGCCGGTGATTGGTAGAACGTGAACCTTGATCAATCTTATGAATTTTTATGATTCTTTGTTAAACAGTTGCGAATTAAGATTGTAGAATTACGAATTAACTTTTAAACGATGTTTTTATCGAATTCATTAAAATTCATCGAGCGTACTTCGTTTATGGAATCAATTTAATCGATTGGTTTTAATCTGCATCACAGGTATATCCAATTATTTTCTCGGAAATATTTAGATACAAAATTTGTATACAATAATTTAAAATTAAAAATCCAATCATAAAAATTATTCTTCTTATTATTAACATGGATATAATTTACGATTATAAACAGAAGTTTCAAGGTCGCAGTATTTATTGTTCAATATGATATAAAATATCATTATTATTCGATAATATGTTAAACATTGTTCCCCAAAAATGATTCAATTTCGGGCTAATGTTGAAAGCGCAATTCCTTACACCTGTTGGCTGGATGACTTCACTATGGCGCCGCATCTGATATCAGCAGGACTTTATTACCTGCGCTTCGCATCAGAGTATTATGCAACCAGCTGTTTCGGATACCACGCGAAACGACCACGAATTTCTATCTGTCCGTGTAAATAATAATAATATGCGAGTCCCTATCCTCTTCCGTCGACCGATCGTTACTAATTGATCGAACAAAAGCGCGATTTCGTAATTTCCATATAAATGGGAATGCAGATTCGACGCGTTGCAAGATCGAACGACGGAATTCATAGCCTATTGTCATCGTTCGTTTCTATTCGCGCGTTTCGCGGCACGGTTTTAGGTGTATCTATTCATCGATTGCCAGTCGAGCTTCGTGCGAATCGATTGTCCTCTGTATGCTTCTCGTTTCACCAGAAAAGTTTCGTATTCGCGCGATGCTCACGTGAGAAACTTGAAGCATTGATTAATTTAGTCGTTCGAGCAATTTCCTTTAAAGGAAAAAAAAGTGCTGCGTTAATATTACAGCTTGTTTACTTAGAAGCGAATAATTTATCTTCCGTTGATCGTAGTTAGATTAATATTAAATTTGCAGGTATACGTTAACACTTTGCCAAAGGGT